GCCACTGTATTGTTTTTATTCCTACCAATTGCCCAATGACCTCGAATCATGAAGCTAGTCTCTTATTGTGGTGTTAGATCCTAAGTTCTTATGTTTTTTTCTTATGCTTTTGAACTCGCAACGAATTTCCTTGAGTGGTGCCCCTCTTATGAGTGTTCTTTACAAGTTTATAGCTTAGCAGCTGGTTTGTCCCTCCGCTCCTTCGTCGGTGAAGTTGGCGCAGGCAAGCCCAACACCGTGAGAGCCGGAGTGCCGACCCTATATTTTTTCGAGGATGTGACATGTTGTCCTCCCCCGATCTCGCCTTCCCCTCCGTTGGCGATTGTGACCACCAGTATCGGAGAGTTTGGCGACGAGAAAGCGAAGGGAGCTGCCACGAAGGGTTTGATGTTGCGAGGGTTGTCGACGTCAGGCATTGTGGACGAATGCGCGGATACGTGCTGGTCGCCGAGGATGTCATCGATAACTTCTTTGATGTTTATACGACGACTCGGTTTAGATGGGCTCACAACAACGGAAGCCTCATGGAACCGGTGTTGGCGATCAATCGAAGACGTCAGTGGTTGATTCTTATAGTCTTCATGTTCTGCCGAGAGGCTGCTGACCACCTGTGTCTCCATCTCCATTGCCGTTGCATCGTCGTCGACATCATCCTCACGATGCTCTCCGTACACTTGCCCAAACTCATCAGACGACTCTCCAGATCCGGCATCATCCTCAATATCCACTTCGTCGTCTCCAAAATCCACTTCCCCTATGACACCATCTTTTCCTTCAAACAACTTACTCAACTTTGTTTCTCCCCCTTCCTCTTCTTCCTCCCCTTCTTCCTCTTCCTCCGCTTCCTCCATTTCCCCCCGTCGTTCTCTTCTGTGCAATTCAGCCCCTTCTTCTGAACCGGTGTTGAATCTTGACAACCCCCGTTATGTCTCCACGCACGCTGCCCCTCCCGTCGGCACGACAATCCTTAGTCGACCCCCCCTCCCCCCCCCCATAAAGAACTTCGGATCTCGGCGTACTTCGTTGTCTCCATGTTCTCGGGCCCTCCACTTGCACCCTCTCGCTCCAATCCCAGCGGCTGCCGCTCCCCCTCAGGTGATGCATTCCAGTTCCTTGCAGCACGACTGCCAAATGTGGCATCGTGGCTTGTCACTTCCACCCCCAACCCGCTATCCACGACCGACTCATGTGGCGGCACCTCAACCGATGTAGTTCAGATCCCGACAGTCTTAAACATTCCGCCCGATCGGCTACCGAGAGCAACCAAGGCTATCATCATCTCCCTCGATGAGCCGGCAGATGAAGTCGGGAGGTTGGCGGACTGCGTCGCATGCTCCGGACCGGGGCCACTAGACGGATGTCGATCGATGCCCCCCCCCGCCACCCCACAGCTGCCTTTCGTTGTCGTGGTGTCGCTGCTAGACCTGCCCTCCCCACTAGGAGAGACTGCTTTGCCACCCCCCGCATTGTCGCCCCCGTCCCCTCCACTGCCTGATGGCCCCCCTCCCCGGAACTTCCGTGTGGTCCACTGGGAGGGGGCACTTTCCAGTCCACCATGCCCTTCGAGGGGCGTGTGTCGATCTCGTAGTAGTCCTCTGTTAGTTCCAACCAGCACTTGTCTTGAAGTTCGTTCAACAATCGCTCAACAGTGGAAATGACAGACACGTCGTCGGGTGCAAACGAGTTTTTTTCGAGCCTCACTTTTTGGAGGACCGAAATCCGCGCGAGGTGCAGGAAGTTGGACTTCGACTCGCGAGGGATGGACACCCATCCTAGGCCTCAGTAAGCATCGACCATGATCCACTCACCCTTTTGGATCGCTTACCGAATGAGTCATGGGTGCCAAATCATGTGATGCCCCTTGTCCATTTCATGCGAATGACTTTGCGACTCAACAAGGAAGTGAATATTGTCATTCTTCCAAGACGGATGATCAGGGGGAACATCAGATTCGGGACTCAATGCACTTGGGCCGACAGCCAGAGCCTTAAGTCTCTCCAACAACTTCATCGGGTTCGTGCCCGACACCGGTTTGACCATCAGTGACACGAGGGTGTCGGGCTTGTTGACGGACCGACCGACGAGGACCTTGGGGCGTGTTGCGCCGGATTAGGGTCATACTGCAGGTTGAGGCTCTCTGTGTTGCTCTCCTCCTCCTTCAAGCTGTTGTTGAACTCGATACTAGTGGTCACCTCGTCGTCCGTGGAGATCAAGGCTGTGTAACTGCCGACCTTCAATTCCTCTCGGACTCCACAAAGTTCAGGGACTCCAACCTTTCGAGGAAGATCTTCACGTTCCTTCGAGAGGCGCCGTGGTAGTTGTCGAGCAATCCGAACATGTGGTCCTTGCGATGCACGTACTGGACGTAAGTGTCCTTTGTCGTTCGCGTTTCAAGAAACAAGAAGTCGTATATTTTGTCCTCTTCCTCTCACTCAACTTGAACTACATGTTTGTGTTGCTGCTCCACACGCAATTCCGTTTCGCCTTCTTCACCATGAACTCGCAATTGTGGGCCCCCAAGTTGACCTCGCTTTTGACGAATTGCATCGTGAATTGCAACAGGTCAGAGTTCCCTTCCATCGCGACAACATGCCGATCTGCTAAAAGTTCCCACACGCTTCGCTCATGCGGCTTCCCAAGGAAGACGACACCCTCTCCCTTTTTGCTGATGAAATCAAGAAAACCACCGAATTGGGTCAGATTGCGTTTCATGTCCTTGTAGATCTTGCCCCGTCGTTCAGGCGGTCAGCGACCAATTGCAGGGCGTGAAGGGATCTGCGACACATCCGTCTGGATAACCCTATGAGGCAACTGCACCGCCTTAGCGACACCCATCGACAACCTTCCCTCGTGAACGACGGACGTGTTCTGCGTAAATCGTCACCCTTGAGGAGGATGTACACGAGGTCGTCTTCCGTGTAGAAATTGTTCCCGACGGGGAAGGTTTTCTTTGGCTGAGCTCTCCTCACCCACTTCCCTTCCATCAGCTTCATGAAAGAAAAATGGTGCATGCTAGCCAGAAACGAGAGGTTGTGCTACCGTGGAACGAAAACAACGAGCGTTTAATGCGACGAACACCACGTTTAAAGATGGAAATTCTAAGTCTCGAACACTTGTGGTTTCCACATCTTTGGGTCAACCAGTTCGGACAAATCGAGGATGTACGCGTGACACTTTGTGGCAGTCACGGCCTCCTTCAGCTTAACACTCCTAATCTCGGACTCGAAAGGATCGTTGTCGAACGGTGCGATGGATGTCACATCCCTCGTGTCTCTCCGTAGTATGTGCAGAATGACTTCGGCAAGTACGATCTCTAAACTCGTCATTCTATTGCCAGTCAACACGGAGAAAAGCTTGTTTTTCCAGTCGAGGGATAACTTTTTGTGGCCGGCCAACGACGGACAGATCAGCATCCAATCCAAGAACCCTATTTCTCCAGCTCGACGCAACCCATGTACGACGAACAATCCTTGAATAGTGAGAAGGCAGAAACGTGTTTCCTGCTACGGTCCCACAAATCGGCATCCAATCCAGGACTTTCGAACTCTTTGAAGATTGCAGACTTGTTTTTCAGGAAATGGTACTTTACGATCCAATCTGAAAATGACCTCTTCTCGTGCTTGAATTGATAATAATTCGAAAACCGTTCCAGCACGCGGTCGCACTTCACCAACTGCACAATTTCCTGCACACTGCGTTTCCCCAGCTTCGCCAACGATGCGCAGCCGGTTTACCCCAACCACCTCGCAAGCGAGCACCTTCTTAAGGACGCGACACTTCTCGTTGTCGGTGAGGAATTTCATTGCTTTCCAACAATGTGTGTCCGACTTAGGCACTTGTACAAACCAATCGCCCTGCTCTTTCTCCTTTTTGCCTTTCTTCGTCGGGAGTTTCACAGGAACGTTGTAAACGACCACCTTTCTGCCAACTTGTCGTTATCGATGTAGGGGACCCCTGGCGTGACTTCTCTGACCTTCTTCTTCCTCATGATCCATTGTGCTCCATCGTAGCCCAACAATCTACCTATCTCCCATTTCTTGAAAAATTTAATTCCTAGTTTCCAGACATTCTCTCCGGCCAGAGAAGGTTAACAACAGTCGTATTTTTCATCACCACTTCAGGACACCCTTCACCACTTCAGGATGCAGCCTGCCTAAATAGGTGAATTTCAGGGTCTTCAAACCTTTCACCATTTCAGGACCATTCGGGTCTGAAAATCCTGAATGGTCCTGAAGTGGTGAAAGCTCCGAAGACCCTAAAAACCACCTGTTTAGGCAAACTGGATCCTCAAGTGGTGAAGGGTGGTTTTCATGGACTTCGGACCTTTCACCACTTCAGGACCATTCATGATTTTCAGACTGCCCAAAACCCTCACTTGACCACTTCAGGACACCCACTTCATATTTTCATTCCTGAATTTTCAGCTACCCGATAACCGCCCGCGGTTTCTTGATGGCGTCCTCCTCCTTTTGATGCTCGAGAGTCCACAACTTGTTGTACGGTGTTTTGTGGAGCGCCACCTTAAAGAACTCACACAATTTTGTGACTTGTTCCTGTTTCCTTCTAGGGTTCCCCACAACAACTTTCGGGAAAGTGTTTTGCTTCCACTGCCACCAAATGTCTTTTATTGATAGTTTCAACAGTTTCGGAGGCGCCTTGAGGTCCGTCTTGTTGTCTTGGGAACTAACAAGGAAATACCCTACGAAGTCGTCGTTCGAAAAGTAAACCATACGTTCTGTCCACCGCTCGAAATTGTACTTCTTCGTCACTTCACTGCCCAGCAGTGACCTCGCTGCAGCCGCGTTGTGCTGCCCATAAACCACGTAGTAGTTGTATTGGCCCGCCAACTCGTCCTTCTAGTCCTTCGACTTCAAACGTTCGGCCTTGTCCACAAGAGTTGGTTTTCTCAGCCCCAGTGGTGCCACCTTCAGGGTTGGCAACTCGTGCAGTTGTTTTTGTTATCGAACACCAACCACATCTCTTCTTTGATCCCTTCTACAAGGACACGATCCAGGGACCGCTGGTTGGATTGTTCTTCCCACTCGCCGAGGTCGACGACCTGCGCTGGGCTAGTCTCGAACTCCCGCTTTGTCCTAAAGTCGTATTTGTACCTAGGAAGTACCCGGAGTGGACGTCGATGGGAGGCCATGGTGAGGAAGATCCCGAAGCAAGCTGCTTCTGTTTCGAAGCCGAACATTTGGTACCCAAGTGGTCCTTCTCCCCCTCGGTTCCCTTCCGCTTCTCCCCACATTCTTGGAGGCCTTGGTCTTCAATTTCTTGAAGAACCGACCATCTCGATTTCCACCTTCGTACTCTGGCCCTCGCTAGTCTTCAAGCCGACCTCCGAATAGACTGCCACCTTTCCTATAGCCACTGCAAGCTCCTTTGGATTCGGAGTGGCATGCCGGACTCCAGGTATAGACAACATGGACCGGTCTCTTTGCCTCAGAGGCGAAGTCGTGGTCTGCGGCGGCATGTCATCGTCGCTGTCGTCAAATCGCCCATGGCTCTCGCCCCCTGCAACTGAGTAGCCGAACCAGAACCCAAATCCCCTCCCTCTAGTGGATCCCCGTTGAATTCGCACCAGCTGCACAACTGCAAGGGTAATGACAATTGTTGGTCGGGGTCGTCGTCGCAGGGGACGTCGAGGTCAACTTCCTTTTGCTCCAACAAAACAAAAAAATTATTAAGCCAAAAGAAAATCTCCCTCATGAACGAGTTTGTTGTAGAACGGGGTGTTCAGAGCACCCGCTCCAAACCCCTTGAACAAATCCATTTCCAACAACGCCCCTTTGGAATTGGCAATGACGTTGCCCTTAGCACCATAAACAGTTTTCATATAGAATTGTCGTTGTCCCCTTTTCGCGTCCTCTCACCGCAAGACGGCCCCAAGCACACTACGCCGCTTGTTGTCGTCGACAAAGATTATATGACCACAGGGCTACGCAGCGGGGTTGGAAGCATCCCCACAACACCAGTCGACGAACCATTTCGACCTCGTGTGGTTCAACCACAATTTCAAGCCCTTACATGACCGTCTGGTGGAGTCTTTTCCCCAAGCATGCTACGACGCTTGTTGTCGTCGATGAACATGATAGGGTTACACAACTACGCAGCGGGGTTGGAAACATCCCGACAGCACCAATCGAAGAACCATTTCAACCTCGTGTGGCTCGGACACGATTTTGAGGCCGTAGACGACCGTTTGGTGGAGTGACTGAGGTCTTTTTCCGATTCCTTCTCGGAGGTCCCGACAAGCTCCCCCTCCCTCCTCGACGAAGACATGTGTCTGCGAACGACAACGCAAATGAAGCAACCCACCACGCAGTTAGGATTAGGCAAATCTCAGAAGCAATAGTCCGCTCACCGCCAAACCAAAACGTAAGCTCTGTCGAAGCGTTACAAACGCGAACGGTGAACCCTGGATTGCACACGTCGGCCTCATTGCATCGTTGCAAGAGCACAAAGTTCGGATTACGGCGAACATCGCACACGAAGGGCCTCCAACACCCCACTTCGAACAACCAGAATAATCTTTGCGTAGAGAACACCCTTCATCTGACTATTCCTTGCGGGGGTGTCGATGCGACTATCCTTGACATGGGCATTGATCGCAACGTGAGGACATACCTCAAGTTTGTTGGGATCCGAACTTCAAACCTTGCGGGAAGGGTTGTGCGGTACCTCAGAGCTATCAACACGAAAATTATCTTTGTCAAACACAGCACAAAGTTTTCTCCCGTTTTCTGCAAATAACGAAGTCGTGTCGACAGCGACACGCCGACAACGAACCACACAACCCTTGCCGCATTGTTTGAAATTCGGGTCCCGGAGAACTTCGACCGAAGTCGTGCGTCCTTAAAATTCTCTCCCGTCATGGTGGAATTTTTGTTTCTGGTTGAAGCACCAAAGCTTTAAAGTTTTAGGTCGTTCAAAGTTTTTGTGGTCACAATGACAAGGCAACCATTGAGGTCCGATGACAGTTTCGGCCTTTTTTTTAAGCCCGGATGTCTACGCACTTCACTAGGCCCCCCCATTTGCGCAGGGAATATTCGTCATCCAACTATTCCTTGCGGGGGCCTCGTTGCAGCTATCCTTGACATGGGTATTGATAGCATCATTGCAGCGCAAGGGCATATCCAAAGTTCATCGGGATCTGAACTTCGGAAATTGCGGGAAGGGTTGTGCAGTGGAAAGAGCTATGAACACGAAAAGTATCTTTGCAGAAGTTAGTAGGGGACCCCCAGTTCCCACGTTCGTCGAAAGGGAGTTGGAGTTCTCTCTTGTTCTCTGTGAAGGTCGATGTCGTGTGGATAGCAACAATGAACCACATGGCACTTTCCGCATTGTTTGAAGTTCGTATCCCGACGAACTTCAACCGAAGCCGTGTAGCCTTGGAGTTCGCCAATATTTGTATTTCGGATGCCAACGAAGTTCTCCATTCCCCCCCTTCGGACGGTACGTGAAGTTCAAATGTCGGTGAACTTCCAGTGTTCCACAATCCGGGGCGACACTCGGAATACCCCAGTCACAGTGCAGGAGGGGTGGAAATACGAAGTTCTCCTGCATCTGAGCTTCAATATTGGCGACAAAGAGTGACTTTTGGAGGTCATCGATCCGGAATGTCGCCAAGTCTGCCAGCATCCGAACTTTATTTGTTGTCCTTCTTCATGAATGTATTGAGTTCAGCGGCTGATTCGACAAATATTTGCAGTCTAAACTCCGACACACTTCTGCACTATCCGTGTTCGGACACTGAGTGAAGTTTGGATGCCGGCGAACTTGTAGGGATTTC